ATGAAAATCTCCATCTCATTCAGGCTGCCTCCCTAGCACCAAGGAGAGTGCGAGAGAATGCACTTAGACACACAACATGGCCAAAAGAGAGAGAGAAAACCAAGTACCTGATTCTCACTAACATCAGAATCCTTGGGCCTATCCTGTTTCTATTAGATATGTTCAGGTCAGTTCCTCTTTGCCTATGGTAGAGAGCTGAGGCTGAAAGGCTCTACCCACAAACTCAGGTATTAAAGAGGGTTGAATTCCCCTCACCACAGAGTGGGTCTTCTCAGGTAAAATGCTAAATCATCGAGAAAGCCAGGAAAGGAGAATAATGCTCCAAGTTTACCCACTTCTTCCACTTCCACCCTGGACAGCTCTGGGCCAGAATCCCCCTTTCCCTTCCGTTTTTTCCGTTTCCCTTGTCCTTCTACTTGGCTTCCATTCAGCATTGCCTGCCGCAGCTTCTTCCGGGACTGAACTTTGTGAGATCTGAGAAGAGAAAGAATAGCCCAGGAGTCCACATCTGCTCCAGTGCCAGCAGAAGGCATTGTAGGAATGGTGCAGGAGTGCAGGCTGCTCGGGAGCTCACAGTTACCAGCTGTCCCCAGTAGGAGACGCTGTATGAAACAGTGAAGGAACTCTGGTTACAAAGGCTCTTCCTGCTGTTTTTCATGTTTCAGCCTTCGCCAGTAGGAAATACAAGTAATGATGCAGAACACTTATGGCATTCTAGCTGTGGCCACTGCCAGCACTTATTCTGCAAGAAACTGCATAGAAATCTCTGAAGGAAGAATTCTAACCTGAAATATTTTTCTAGTTCAACTACAGCCAGTGCTAGAGTTTTCCCAGGAGTTCTCTCCATGACACAAGCTACGAAGCTCCGTAAAGTCTCTTTCGGTCCTTCTGTGCCACCCTGGACTTCCTGCAAAGAGAGCCAGAAAATAGCATTTAAACCCCCTTTGAACCATACAGTTCAGGACAACACTAGCAAAGAGCAACCTCAGGCCCCAGTCCTGCAACTGCAACTGTGCAGATGTAAGGGTTTGCACAGGCAGATCCACTTGCAGAACTGGAGTCTCAGGTTTCAGTGCTGCAGTTAAGTCAAACCCCTCAACATGCAGAGAAATTTCTGTACTCCCAAGGCCTCCTTCCAATACAGCAGCAATGGGGCGGGGCGGGAAGGGAGAGCGGGAGGTTCCATCTCGCCAGTTCAGAAGGCTTGACAACATTGGGACATTCATATTGTTTTAAAACAGGAAAATTGTTATTCGCCCTAAGCCTCCAAAACAAACCTCCGTAAAAAGAGAAATGGGTAACCCAACTGTTTGAGCAAGGCACGGTCGGCACACAGAAGCCACAAGCAACCTCACCTGCCTGTAGCTGTAGATCATGGATACAAAATCCTCCAGGCGAAGCAGAACCAGGATATTGGGTTCTTCTATCCAGCTGCCTTCTTCAACCTGCCCAGAGTTGAACACATACTGAATTCAAGATATTTGTGAAAGCGATCCTATTCGGATCCTAGCTTCACGTATACCCAGGGTTTTAGCCACAGATGAAACATTTCAGTCGGAGAGCTTGTTAATGACCCATCTCCCTTAAGTTGATGCTCCCGCTCATTGCTCACTAAAAGGAGGCAGAAGGGCAGAGTTACTCAGACTGCTGATGAGTTTTATAGTGCACATGTGGCATCAGTTTATTAGTAATCGGAGAGCGAGAGTGTGCAAAAGGCTGGGAACAGCAAGAGACCAGTGAAACGTGACACCAAAGTGAAGAACATTAAGAGAGCTCAGCAGAAAGAAGGGTCTGAGGACATGGACAATTCATTGTGTTTATATAGCATTAATAGATAGTATCAATCTGCTTTACAGAGAGTCACTAGTAGAAAAGATTCAACAAGGGGAAGTGGCACAGTGGCCTGGAGTGAGGGGAGCAAGTTCCAGATCAAAGTGAACAACAGCTACCCTTCTGGGGAGGGATGAGAACAAGAGAGAGGAGTGAGTGATTGGGGCAGTAGATGGGCACAAGGTCAGAAGTACTGTGGAGAGAATGTCTATTGATAAGTCTGAATATCAGCAAAGGAATTTGAAATTGGATTCAAAGATGGCTAAGAAGTCAGCAAAGGTAGCATGGAGGATGGGGATGTAACGGTTCCACTTCTGGGAGGAAAAGCAGTCTGGCCAGAGCATAGCTAAGATTTAAGAAGACCATAAAAGAGGGATTTAGAATAGTCCAGAATGGGAATAAAGGTGCAGTTAAGCATTTCAGAGGAGTAAGGCCAAGACCAGGACTGGCACTATCTCAAGGGAGAGGCAAAACAGAAAGAGTTCAGATCAAGGAGAACATTCCAAGATTTCTGCCCTGGCAACCAAGGCTTATGGTCCAGGTTTATTCCATGTCTCTGAAATCACTAAAGGAGTTTTAACTCAGGAGAAAGACTAATTTCTGAAGCATTCAGCAGTAGGGTCAACCAGGAGCTGACAGAGCCATAGCAAGCAGTTAGTGTCAAATCGGGTGTAGAAATGGGTGTTATCTCACTAGAAATAATGCCAAAGGTTAAACTGGGGGGGGGGGGGGGGGCGCGAAGGAATCACAGAAATAAGAAACAAAGACAGGTACATCTGGGAGCAGAATTCTGTGGCACTCCAAACAGAGAAAACAAAGGGAAATCTAAATCTTCCTTCAGAAATGATAAAGGTGGCTCACAGGAAGCTTGAGAAGAAAGTAGCCAGAGTTACTGGGACTGGAAAAGAGATGAGATGGGAAAGGTAAGTCTTGGAGCTTTTAGTTACATAGTATGGAGAAGAGCTAGTGAGAACAAGTGGGAAATGAAGTTTTGCATGCCAGGGAAAGACCAAAAAGAAGTCAGTCTCATTTTAAGATTCTCTGGGTAGCTCACAGACAGACACAAGGCTACCACCAGTAACTGCAGATCACCAGGCAACACAACCCCAGGTGCTAAGCACAGAGGAAGAAAAAGGTGTAAACTTCAGACATTGTGGTCCCCTACCTGAGATGACCCAGCCCTCCTCCTCCTCCAGGTGATGCTACAGGGAACAGCCTGACTCTCAATCACACAGCCACAGTTCATGGACTGCAAAGCACTGAGGACTTGCCCACCTCCTTCTACCTGCAAGAGAACTGAGATGGGTGCAAAGGTCAGGGGTCCACAATGAGGGCTGTCACTTAATTCAAGGCTGAAAAAAAAGATAAGGAATGGTACCTGGATCCAGCACCACTGTTATGTGCTTCAGGCACTCTTCTGGTCGCTGGGCCTTCAGCATGTCGGCAAGTGCCTTTTTCCTCTCTCGGTCCTGCTCCCGCTGCCCCTTCTGCACTTCCCACTCTCTCCTCCTCTGCAACGCAGCCTGGCGAGCCCTCTCTCTCTCCTCCTGGCTGTGTTTTGACTTCTTCTGAGGAGGGGACATTTCTGAACTTGCCTCTGCCACCAGAGACCTGCTACTCTGGGCTGGAGAGACTGACAGACAAACTGGAGGCTGGTGCAAAGGTACCCTCTTGGAATCCTCTGTGGCATCATCTTGGTCACTAGCTGAAATTTCCCAGGATGAGACAGGGGTTCTTGCCTGGGTGTCAGAAGCCTTTGGCAGCAACTGTTCTCTGCAGTCAGTAACCACTTGTTCATAGTTCTGACGGAGCACAGTACCCCTAGCTTTACACACTGCATCACAGCTACTCAGTTGCTGGTCCTCAGAAAGCAAAATACTAATTTTGGAGGACTTGCTGTTCACCAATTTCCCCCTTAGTCTTTCAGACAAGGGTATTATCTCCTCTTCCTCCTCACTCTCACTGCTCAGCCTTGCAATCGCATCCTTACAAGCGGTGACTCGGTCAGAATCCTGGTTACCAGGGAACTTTTCCAACCCCGGGGAAGGAGGAGAGGATTCCTCAGAGTCAGAGCTGCAGATCACCACAACTCTCTCCTCTGAAGGAGGCTGGCAGCGGCTGCTGCTTTTTACCGCAGGAGGCCGTTGTTTTAGAAAAGTGAACTTTGGCAGGTGCTCGACGTCGCTCTCATCCGACTCCAGGGACATCGTGGTCAGTCAGTCCCTTCCAACGAGCAGCACCTGGGAACGGGAAGCAGGGCAATGAGGAGCCGGCTCCAGACAGTCCCCATGCTGTGGTGGGGATCCTGAAGGGGCTGGGTAACTGAATGACCGGTAACAACCTAAGTCTGCAGCGAGCGCCCCAGGGAGGTGACTAGATCTCGTGCTTCAAGACCCAGAGAAATAAGCCAATTTGCAGCCTCAGGGGCCTCCCCCCCCCGCGAGCACGAGCCGCCAGGGCGGGTTCCCCGTGAGCGCAGGATAGCCCCGAGGCGGCCGCGCGCGGGGGCTGGGGGCGCGCACGGCCTTGTCCGCGGAGAGGCGATGGCCGAGGCCGCCGTGGTGCGGACGGGGCCTGGGGAGGAGCCACCCGCCCGCTGAGGCGCCCTGGGAGGGTCCGTGCCGCCGTCCCCCCGCGCACAGCCCCCGCCCCCATAGGCCACGGAGAGAACCCAGGCGTCCGAGTCTGGCCGCGGCGGCCCTTGCTCTGACCCCGCCCTCCTGCCGCCCCCGCATTGAAACCTGCCGCCGCCGCCTCCTCTCAGTCTTGACCGGAAATCCTGCGCCGGAGCCGGAAGTGGCCCCCACCGGAAGCGGAAGTGGTGGTACAGGAAGATGGCGGCGCTGGGGCGACTGGCGGGTTTGGGGGCGGTGAACAGGCTGCGTGAGTGTGCGGGGGACAGGGAGCGGGTCCGCACGCGGGAGGAGGGGTCTGGGGGCAGGGCTTAGCCCTGGGAAGCGGAGAGTCCGTCGGGGGAAGGGCGGGCAGTGGTGGGACCCAGGGGGCTGGATGGGCCTCGCCCACCCTGAACTAAGTGCAGCCCGGGCGGGGGTAGGACATCGCCCTTTCCCGCAGTGCGGCCTCCCGGTAACTAGCCTATGGGCTGTTAGTACCGGTAGGGGCAGGGGGGCTGTTGTGGCGCCATCTGTTTGTGTCTCAGGTGTGTAGTGGTTACAGCCTAATGGGGGGCTGCCTAGGCTTCTGAGGTGATGTTGGAGCCAATGAAAGTCTAGAACATGCTAGGAAGGGTGGCCCAAAGAGGTAGTTGTGGACTGGGTACCTGCTGTGATCTAGCTACAAGGTTGTATGTGTGCCCATAGGTGCCAGATACCTTTTAAACGCACTTTGAGATCAATGGATAAAAAGCACTCTAGAAGCGCTAGGTATTATTAACCGCCATTGACCCCCTTCTTCCCTCCCGCCTTAGCTACCCCTTTTTGCCCATTGGTCACTCTATCTAGAGTTCTGTATCATGCCTGCTCCATAGCAGAGCATCTGAAGTTAGAGTAGTTTGATGTGCTAATAGGACTAATAGAAGTATATAGTTCTGCCAGGTCTGGGACACTAAAATCTATATGCCATGCACATCTGCCCATGCCAGTTCTGCTGTCAGTGACACCATTGTAACTATTAAAGTCACTGAAGTTACTCTGGTTCTTACATCTGTCCACCTGAGAGTAGAGCTGGCCCAACGTATATAAGATCTGACATGGGAGTAGGAAGGCATATATTACATATGCCTGGTTGCATATTGACTTCAGTGGAGTTACTCTGGTTTTACACTTCTTGGCCTGTTGAGCAGTATGTAGTAGGGAATCCTTCTGCACCAGGTCAGGTTTATCTTTTTACTGTTAACTGATGAATTGGAATGGGTTCAGGTGGGCCCTTTACCATAGCAGCCTTTGTGCCCAAAAAGGAAAATCTGAGTTCTCATTTAAAAAAACAAAACAAAAAAAGTCTGTTGCTCCTTTCCCTCCCTGCCATCCAGCAGATGCCCACTTCCTAATCTCCATTTCTCTTTGAAACTGGTGGTGGGCTGGGAGGTCAGATGGGTGCTCAAGCTTAAAGTCCTCTCCTAATAAAAAACAGAGCTGCTGACAGGGCATTCTCCAGGAGAGGCTCAGAACTTCTGAATTGACTTTGAGTAAATCCCTTGAGCTTTGCGCCTTAGTTTACCCATCTATAAAATGTAAATACTTTCCTACTACATTTGATGTTATATAGTTTTAACTGACATTTGTAAAGTGCTTTGATGTCCTTTCATGAGATATATACCAATGCACAGTATGATTTAAAATATAAAATAATTACATTGGAGAACAAACAAAGGTAGTTAGTTTCTTAGATAAGGATTAAATTTAATCCCAAGGCAGAGCTCTATAAATCCCATTACTTCCTTTCCCCACTCCACTGCTATTTCTCTTAAGTCACAGCCCCTTTCTTTTACTTAATGTATTCTAAACATATATAATAAATTGTTCTTTTTAAACACATCCACCACCCCCCAAATCTTTGAGACTTGCAAAGTATCTGTTATTTAATTAAGATAAAATTCATCTACTGCTTTTCTTTAAGTAAGGAAATGAGACACTTGTGGTAACCACTGTTTAGTAAAACACTACTTAGACCGCTGAATAGAAGGATTTAGAGTAAAGTGAAACTGGCTGCTGATTGCATGAAAAAGAACTAATTATATGGAAGACACTTCTTATGAAGTGGAATTCACAAAAGGGTCAGACTTCCTTAATTTTAAACATTTGAATGTATTTACTGACAATGGATTTTGTGTATTTGGTTTTTAATGGAAGAACTTTGCGATGTGAAAAGGCGACATGTTCCAAGAAGGAGAAAGACGAATCACTTACTGTAACAACTTTATTTTTTAAACCCAGGCCTTGGCTACTAGGGCATGTGCTTAAATTCATTCCTACTCAGGACAGCAATTAAATATGTGCTTATATATTGTCCTGTATCGGGGCCTTGATAATGAAACTTTGCATTTTTATAGACACTTATCTGGGGTTGTTAAAGCTTTTTACAGACACTAAACCTCACAATTTGAGATTAAGTATTAATACCCATTTCACAGATGGGGAAACTGAGACATACAATATTTGTGACTTGACTCAATTTCACTGAGTGAGTTAGTGGAAGATAAACTCCAAGTGTCCTGAATTCCAGTGCTGTGCCCGTATCATTTGGCTACACTGACTGTTTTCTGTAACTGTTTCTGTAGCTCAGGATTTAAAGTGCATGGCCACAACTAATAGCAGAATGTTTGCATTTAGATGCACTGCTTTGAGTTCTGCTACTCCATTTAGGTAGCAGGATGCTTTCTGAAGTGTGACTTGGTTGTGTGCAGGAGAGACGCAATGGGTTAAATACGAATTATCTTTATAATACATTTATTCTAAGGGCTTTTTTCTGCCTTTGGCTTTAACATTTGTTTTGAAATGACATGACTGAGCTTTGAATCCATTTTTGCCCTGATTTAAAAGGAAATGTAAATATTTGCCCATTTTGAATTCATTGTTGTAGATAATATTTTTTTAAACTTTTTTTTATTGTTCCTCCTTCGAATACAGTTTTGGCTGCTCCGCAGGTGACTGCGGTTGCGGTGCGATGCGCATCCAAGAAGAGTGGAGGCAGCTCAAAAAATCTCGGTGGCCGCAGCCCCGGGAAACGCTATGGCTATAAGAAAACAGAGGGTAGGTCGGTCAGTCTGTCCTGCTGCTTTATACACTCTGGATTGTGCCCTCCCCAAGTTGCCTGGTTATCAGGGACTGTTACATGTGAAACTGCTATGTGTTTCAGAGTTCAGATGGGAGGAGTTGTTTGTGACTCTTTGCAAGAGAAAAAAACCTGAAGGTTTAACCACCATTGGCTACAACCACACTGCATACGTAACCACCATTGTGAGAGTAGCCAGCAGGAGGCTAGAGTGACACAAGCTCCCTTCCAGATCTGCCTACGTGCAGCAAACTGAAGTTACCAATAAGAAACATGTATTGGTTCTAACTTAACTTGTCTCTGGGGAATCTGGGAGGAGGAACACCCCAGGGGGCACCTGATCAGTTAAGTGCCCTTTCCCCTCACACTGTGCTCAGAAGCTGGGCATTTCAAGTATTGATAAAGAGGAGAATTATGAGGCTTAGTAGAAGCCAAAGTACAGATGCCTGTAACTGAGTGCCTAACAATTAGGGTGGGTTTGCTGATGGAAAAAACTGATGTAAAAGGCAATAAAAAAAAAAAATGCCTGCAGCAAACAGAAAATGCCTTGTGCCCTCGAACTAATCTTTTCAAAGGCTAAAACTGCTTTTTGCCATTGCATATCAACTGCCTTGTATTCCCTGGTAGGAGCATTCTTACTTTAAATGTTTTTAGAGTTTGGGATAATTCCTCCTTAGGAAACATCCCAACCAATGCTGGCTTTGTGAGCCCTTGAGCAGTTCTTATTCTGCCAGCACTCAGGCTATAGAGATGCTTGTTCTTTTGTAATCTGAATCCATCTCTCTCTGCTGCAGGCGCCTTTGTTCATGCAGGCAACACATTAGCCACCCAACGGATAATACGCTGGCATCCAGGGGCTCATGTGAGTTACTTTTTCATTTATTATAGCTCTCCACAGCAAAGTCCAGAATCCAGCCTTAGCTCTATCAAGGCTCTTCTCTGTTTCCTCAGTTGCATTCCATAAAATCCTGAAATCATTGTTTCATTACCAAACGCATTTTACAGTTCATTCAAAACCAGGTCAGTGCATGAGCCAGATTTAGTAAACAACTGGAGAATTTTGACAATTACTATTGAAAGTTTTGCACATGAAGTTAAGGGAATCGGTTCTCATGCTTCAGGATTAGAATAATCTCTCCTCCCCACCTTCACAGCATGCAGAATTGTCTGCAGTTCCCTGAGTGCGTTGTGTGTATTGCCTTCCTTTGACACACCAGGTATTGGCCGTGGCTGAAGCCAGGACATCAGACTAGTGGCTTGGTCCACTTTGTTAAATGATACATAGTGACCTAAACACTTCCTTCCCTTTCTAACAATATACTGTTCATCTCTTCCAGGTGGGGATGGGTTGTAACAAGACTCTCTATGCTCTGGAGGATGGGATTGTGCGATTCACCAAGGAGGTTTATGTGCCACCACCCCGCAGCCAAGAGAGCAGGGAAGTGATCTGTCGTCTACCAAAAGGGGTGGTGCTTTACAAAACCTTCATCAACGTTGTCCCCACCAAAGAAGTGGGGAGCTTCAAGCTAGTCACCATGCTCTGAGGCTCTGCTGCCCCACGCAGTAATGACTGGTGGGGTGGGACTGATCACCGTGACAAACCTGGCACTCAGTCAAAAAGATGCCTGGAGGACTCCTCTAGATCTGAAATGATTTGTTGGCAACTCCAGTTTCCTGCTCCTAGAACTCATTGGGTGTAAATTTGAGAGTTACAAGGTAATCCGGACCGCCCTGAAGTTTTTTGGAGAAATATATATCAAATAGATGTTCTGGGGTTCTCTAACAGCGTGAGGGTGTTTGTGGAATAAATGTAAAACAAAAAGGGCTCAGTAAAGCTGCCTTTCCTTTCTGGACAGCTGTGCTCCAGTCCAGCCAGATATACTGCAATTTCTGCACAGGAATTCTTCATTTCTAGGTACAGCCATTTTGATTCTCAGCATTCCTTGGAACGGCTCCTGTCCTAACTGCACCTGATGTACACTGGGAATTCTGAAAAGGGAATGGGGGTGGGAGGGGGAGTCAGTCTAAGAGTGGGAACCTGAGTTCTAATCCCAGCTTTGCCACCAACTCCCTCTGTAGCACTGGGCCTCAACTTCTGCCTCAGTTTCCCCATTGGTAAAACCAGGATAATGATGATCACATCTTCAAACATTTACAAACATGAACTCTCATAACCTGTGTGTGAATTAGGAAAGCAGCTATTCTTATGGGACATGGGGAAACCGAGGCACAAGATTGCTGAAGGCTCCGGCATCAGGATCATTACTCAGGAGTTACTGAGTCAGCACACACCAAGAGGCATCATCATTAGACTAACTATAATCATTGTTTCTAATAGGCGGGAGCTAATTGTGGTGGGGATCAGAGGCTGTATTGAATCCCTGTTGTCACTCCCCCCCCCCCCCTTAATGAAAGAGTTTGCAGCATATTGGTAACAGTTATAAACCTTCATGCAGGGAGTTACTGCAGTTTATTGGCATGAACAAGTACCAGAAGGAGCTGTCTCCACTGTTTGTGCTTATCCTCTGAGGGGAAAATCCAGGGAGACATAAACAACCAACTCTGCTCACATGGTGAGCTCTGGTTGTACTGTGTGAAGCCTGCATCTGTGCCAGAAGTTTTGTTGTAAAACTCCTGTCTGCTTAGGTAGAAGAGGGAACTCCAGGAGCTCCCTGTCCAAAAGACAGCTTCAGAGAATGAGAAGAAAATGTTTTTCTGAATTAATCCTGCACTAGCTTTAGAACTATGTCCAGTCCTGCCATGATGAACATATTCAAAAGGGAAACTGCCACATTGTGGCCAAAAATAAAACCCTACGGTCAATAGAAATATTTTCATGACTTTCTAAAGTTTCATTCCAAAGCAATTTGTCTGGATTTTGAGTCCCTCCCGTGTTTGTAACGCTCATATTACAGTATTGTGCCAGGGCAGAGGAGCCAGTGAAAAAATAAGGCCAGATGACTTCTAAAATGTTTGGTTTTAATAGTAGAAGGTGTTAAACTTCTGTTCCTATAATTTCTAGCGTAGTGTGCCTTTAAAAAAAAATCCTTATCCTTGCCTCCTGCCTCTTTAGATTAGTAAACTTCAAATCATTTTTTTAGGGAGTCAGTTTCACTTTCTGGTTCTCAGTCACTGACACTATACTATTGTGTTTAGGTTCCACATACTGCAGAAGAGAATTTTCCCTTCCCCTCGTGTAAAAAAACACACACACGTACATACGTACGTACGTGGAGGATATTAAGAAATGAAAGCCTGATTAGGTTTTGTCTTTTTCAAACTCAAACCCCAACAGATTAACTCCATGTCCCCTTGACTTAGAGGAGGTGATGTGCTCACAGTTTCAAAGCTAAATTGACTAAGTTTGGAACTCCCAATTGGGCAAAGAAGTCTGAGAGCATCATACTCATCAGCTGAAGGGTGAAAGAGGCATAATCCAAACAACAAAACTTCAGTCTTGTCAGGCTGCAGTCATTCCACAGCACTCAGTCACACAGCAGACATCTTGTGATCTGACTGGCCCTGTTTTATCTACAACATTGTAAACAACATTTTAAAAGTTCGGCCTGAAATACAAAAAAGTAGTTGAAAATCTGAGTTGCAGTTACATCAGCACTGGGGAAATTAGATGATCTGATCTCCAGAATTCAAATAGCCATTTGTTTATGAAGGGGAACTGAGTGTCTTAGGGTGTTATCAGCATGGTTCTACCGTTGCACCTTTCAGGGTGAAGTCCCCTGAGGTTACATTAGCTCTTCCCAGCTGCACGGTTTGGCACACAGCTCATGCTGTTCTGAAATGCAGCTGTTCTCTGCCTTTGTTTACAGCATTGTGGAGCAACTTGCTGTACAATCCCAAGAGTCCTAGCCCTTGCTGAACCTTTATCTTGTCGGAACTTACAAGCTTTCCTCCACGTAGCATTTTTAAATCCCCGAGGAATGTGGAGCATGGAGCTATGATTTGATGATAGCAGATCTAGAACAAATACATTCATTCTGTCACTTGCGGGTCAGGATTCCCACTGGTACCTGATAAGGTAAATGTTTTTACAACATAAGAAGTAGATAAGATAAAGCATTTGAGGACGAGGTTCCTAGCTTCTGAGGTTTAATACTTGGAGTGTGGGGCAATAGCTGCTGCAGCCTCACAGAGGCTTACGTTACAGTGAAACAGCCCCATGCCTTTGCTCCAGAGTCCTTGGCTGAGTGGACCATCACCTTTGCTCTGCCCCCTCACATACAACAGAAATGGCTGAGGATTATTCCATGGTCTTTGGTTAAGATAAGGTTACTAGAGTGAAAATAGTGGAGCAGAAATCCCCTCAGGTTTATTCCACTGTTTCTGGCAGAGAGATGGCTGCTAAATCGATCCTGGTATTCACTCCACCTTCGTTCTTGTAGGGGAGTGAGTTGATGGAAATCTCCACTGCTTTGCCTGTGATTGGCACAAGGGGTTCTCAGCTGTTTGTGTGACTGGCTGAAGGCATGAAGTTCCATTCCGCCCTGCTGGAAGGGAGAGACCTCACAGGCCCTGCTGTCCTTGCCACAGAAGGAAGGAGAGGTGTTCCAGGGTTGATTCCCGTTCTACACAGCTGTGTTCCTTTGAGTTTGGTAGCTGACGGAGGCCTGGAATGCGTCCAGCAATCTGTGCCCATCTGGCAACTCTGATCCTGCTCCAGCCCCTGGGACAGCTGGAGGATGCCTTAGGGCTTGCTCATAGGGAGGTGGCATCTATTAGAGAGGAAAGAGGAATCCATTATACTGAGCAGAAACACAGTGGTGAAGATTAACCCATGTTATAGAACAGCTTTACGTGAGTCCTTTCACACCATTGCCACAGCTCTAAAATTAAATACTCTGGGCCATCCATTAAACGCTTCTTAGAACAGCAGCACTTTCCACATTGCCAACTAGATAAGTGTGCAGGAGGAGATTATAGGCCCACTGCAGTTTCTAAAGAGCTGCGGTGGAAATCCACTGCAGCTATTACAGCCCAGCCCACCCACTCCTACGGCCCGACTCCTCATCCCCAGCTATGGCGTTTGCTGGTAAGTTCAGGGATCTGTCAGCGTTTCCATTAAAAACCTTTTCTCAGGAAATCTTTCCTGTGAAACGATTAATTTCCTGTTAAAATAAGATTAGCCATTACATATTCCCCCTCCCCCATCTATAAATCTCCACTTCTGCACAGAAATCAGTCTGAGGCGAGGTGCGTGGTACAGAGCTAGGAGCCAGAACTCCCGCGTTCTAAACCTGGCTCTACCACCATCGCCCTCTGAGGCAAGGCCCTTACCTTCCCGTGCCTCACAAGGCGCTAGGGGTTTAGTAAGTGCATGTAACGCACTCTGCGCATGCAAACTGCCCTTGCAAGGCAGGGCTAAGTGTTGTTATCGTGTCAACTGCACAGAGTCTTTTTTGGAGACAGGCTTAACGGCTCAACTTTTAAAGGAAGGAAGTCAGTAGAGGAATCCCACTGCATTGAAAGTGTCACAGATTTCCATTCTGCCCCAAGCAACCCTGGGTGTGGCAAGACCGAGAGGCTGCCATTTGGTACAGCAGACTTTTCCCGCCTGGGATGCTGCCCCAGGACTGACCTCACCTGGATGTGGACGCTTCAGACAGAACAATGCTTTTCACTAGTCTACTGAGCGGGAGGCTTAAGGGTTGGATGGTGAGCACCAGGCAAAGCCTCACAATCCAATAACTTCAGAACAAGCCCAGGCAGGGGAAAAAGACATTCAACAGTAGCAGCAGCGAGGAGGGCTGCCAGCATAAGGAGTGGGGGGAAAGAAGGACTTGGAATCCTGAAGTCACATTCCAATCTTCAAACCGATGGTTCAGACCGGCAGCCCTGTCCCCTCTCCTAGCGCTCTGCAGATGCCCTGGGGAGGGATCAATCATTAACCTGCAGAAATGTAACCATAGGGAATTTCCTGGAACCCGGGTGTGCCTTTCCCAGAGAGAAATGCTATCAGAGAAAGGCAACTGCAGAGACAGAGAACAGAGTCCTCTGCTACTGCACTGCGGAGTGCTGGGGGATGGCCTATAGGCGAACAGGATGGGACCATTGCTGTGCTTCTAGACAGGCAGAGGCAGGATTTTGGCAGCTGAAGCAGCCTTCCACTCACCTCCTGGGAGGGGTCTACCCACAGTCCAAACCTCTCGGCAATCAGCTGATGGATCTCCCGCTGCCGATCCTTCTTCCGCACGCTCTCGTAGCTTGGCAAGCGCAGCTGCTCCCAGGGAGGGAGCTGATAGCTGCTGGGGGGTCCAACGCAGAATAGTTCATCTCCCTAGAAATACCAAAGCCACCCAGCATGGAAAAATGTCATACGATTGTCTGAGGCAGTCAGCGCACCTAGTCTGCTGGGAACTCGGAGGCCCAACACTCCTCAGCCCAGGAATTCTGTTCAGGATGCCAACTCTCAGAGTACCCCCCCAGAGACAGGTGGCTGTAGAGCCCTGTGTCTAATGCACCTACACCAGCACCCCATGATGATGGTGCCCTGGAGTTCTCACTGCAACCCCAGGCTTGCAGCACCCACACCAAGGAGATTCTGTCCGGAGCTTCTTTCCCAAATCATTTCTGCAATAGGACCATTCTCTCTGGCATCCTGCACCCACGTCTAAGGGGATTTGATCCACTACACCCAGGAATTGCCCCACACCCAAATACCCTCCCCAGGATGCCCCCGGCCTCCATACCCAAAGCATCTTCCACTACGTGACATGATCTCTTTGCAGCCATGTTGTAATAACTGGGCCTATGAATTTACCTTAATTGTAAATTCAAGTGTAAGAAGTTAGTAAAGTGCATAAAATGCCACAATAACCCATAAGAGTTGCTGGGAAAAGGTGCAAAAGGGAAACAGGCTGAATTAGTACAAACAAAAAGGCCTACAAGGACTGTGTTAAGATCACGTCTGGCACACAAGAAGAGTGTGGGACTGGAAATCAATGAGCCAAAATTAGTGTATTGGAAATTAGGCCTAAT